AGCTTAAATGAGGCAGAGCCTCAATCTAGGAGGGAAGGGAGAAATGCCTAAACAAATGCACCCCATGCTGACAGGGGAGGGTAGAGAACTGGGATCCATTTTATTTTTAAACCTTTAACACGCTGATTTCTGTTACTACCCTACTATTGTAAAGTTGGGGCAGACACAGGCTCAGAGGCACACCCAGGCATTCAGAGCTTGAAGATTTGGGTTTAGGTTCTTATTCGTGAAAAGGGAAAAGAGGCACCAGACAGATGCTCACGTTCCAAAACTAACTTCGTCATAATCCTACCCCAAAGACAACAAAACCTGGCTCTGTAGAATCTCTCCTGCTCTCACCAACTCAAGGAACACCCACTGCACCTCATCTGTCAAAAGGCTGAGATCAAGATTCTTGCAAAACCTAAAATAGTGATGCATTCAATGATGGCTTAAAAATAGTCTGGGGTCTCCCCCAAAAAAGATCCTAAAATGTAACAAACAACCACAGCTGTTCAAATCGTTTTCCGACCACAACTGTTAAAATCATTTTCCCGGCCAGAGTCTCCATGAAAATTCCTCATTCATTCAGCTCTAACTCTGAAAGTCTTGATTCACTGGTAAAAAAAAATCTGGGGTCGAATTACCTTAGCTCAGCATAGCAGCATCTGCAGTTTCCTCAATGGTGTGAAGAGTGAGTAACAGCACAGGTAATCAGCATGTGTAAATAAAAAATCTGTGATGCTGAAAATGGGGAGGGGAGAACGAGAAAGCCAGGGAAGAACACACATACCACCAGGACAAGGTGGCATCTCCAAGAAGTGCCCTCTTGAATGAATTTTTTAATGTATCGACAAAACCACAGAAGCTGCTAAGTAATCTCGTCACCCTATCTCTTTTATTGGGTTTCTAATGAATCATAATCCAACAAGTCCAGGGCCACCTACATCCAACAGGTGGAGTGAATTTCTAAGATGATGCTGTAGATTTCATGCACGGGGCTGCTCAGGGCAGAGTACCCAACTCTGATGGCAACGCCACCTTACAAGATGTAAGATGAAGGGAAATCGTTCTGACATCCCACCCTAAACCACCTTAGGTAAAACATTAAAGTTCCCCCAAGAAAGGAATACTCCAATTCCATTTTCCAGATAAGAAATACAAGGTTTTGTCCACATGGACTTTTTTGGGGGGCGGGGGGTGGGGATGAGAATCTTATTAAATATTCTGTTGGGGACATGAACAGACGCTCGTTTTATGCTCTAGAGATCTATTTTAAACTATCAAAGGTGAAATAGCAAATCGTCAAATACAGGAAGTAGTATAAACACATTCTGGGGGAAAAGGATTATGAGCAAATTCAATCAACAAATATTTATCGAGGGTCTGGGGCTTAGTGCTGAAATGCCCCTGTCAGAGAGCTCCCTTAACAGCTTTTGGTGAAAAGCAGAAAGATGCAATCAGAGTTTTCCTGAAAAATAATTAATCATACACTTCTTCAGGTTAATTGCAATGCCTACAATTCTCCACATCATTCTGCATTTGCCCCTGAAATCTAACTCTGTCGAATGCTCCCTGGTTGTTCAGATCATTGATCAACACTCTAAGCAACCTTCCGTTTTCTCCCAGTCACCCTGCTACCAACCAGAACCAGAGCCCTTCAGGCATCTCCTTTCAGTCTGATCTGTGACCTTCAGTGTCCTGTGTGTGTCAAGGTTATGCTGCCCACAAAGCGAGTATCCTCAAACAGTGGGCCTCCACCTCTGCCCTGCTCTTCAATGCCAGTGCAAAACCTCCCAGCTCTGCTGGGCCATTTTAAATCCATCTGATGGCACATTCAACAGCTAGTTAGCTTTCTGTTTCCCCAGCCATCATCCAGGTTGCTTAGGCTTGGAGAGCAAATCAGCCAGAAAGGTGAATCCAACACTACCCAAATCCAAGCTGCATTTTAAACCCAGCTCCCAGGGAAGGACTACAGAAAGACCACTTTGACATCTCTTAACATAAAAACCTCTCTCAAGTTCAATGACAGCCCACAACCCTACTTCCTATCAAATGCCCCATTCCCCGCAACAGTCTGAAATCTTTTCAGGAACACTGCTGTCAAAACAGCACCCTTGGGGAGACATCATCCAGGAACCAACACGACAACCCTCTGAATCGATAGCAAAGCTACAAACACAACAAACAGGGAACAAATGCGGCCAAAGGGGAAAAAAATCTAATTCTGCTCATTTTCTAAGTGGGCAGCAACTAAGTCCCAACATTACCCCCGAGGGGCTCAAAGTGAGGGCATCGGGGTGTCTGGGGAACAACGCAGCCAGTCCGACACCTTCCTCAGAACTTGCTCCTCCGAACCCAGAATGTTATCGCATCATGACAGAACGAAGCAAGATACGGAGCTCCCCCATCCAGAGGCTACTGCATTTTGCAGAAATTCTGGGAGGCTGCAAGCCAGGACCCTCCAATCCCGAGCGCCATGCTAATACATTTTTCAGTAGCTTTTATAAGAATGGAGAAAGACCTACCAGGTCAAGAGGTTTACAGTGCTATTCACATTTCCATTTTCTAGTTTCCTAGTTTGTTGGCGGGGGTCAGTGGGGAAAGGATGTTCTGTGAAGCCCAGTTTCTGTGAATCAATGACGAGACTACATCACACTCCCGCCTGGTGGCCCCCCGGTAACGGGGCTGTCTCTGACCGCCAGTGCTCTACCAGCTCGGAGAGCCTCAGCTGCCAGATCCCTGATCTTGCAGCATACTTGGAGAGGAGCCGAGCACTGTCTCTCTGTTAGGCTCTGGTTCAGCCACTGGCAGCTTAGTTCAACCCATCGGAAAACCTTTAGCTCAGCTTTCAGGAGTCTTCCTGTACAGCCAAGGTAGCAGCCCCCACCCGCCCACTTGAGAGATCGCGATGGAGATGAATAAATAGATGGACAGCTCACCCTAACTCCTGCACGTCTCTCCCTCGACCGAGGATCTGCACTGCTAGAAATCTCCCACTGTCTCCTCCCCTCTGAAGAAGACCAAAGACTGAAAACTACCCCAAAGTACCCGATTGACAATTACGAGGCTGCTGACCAGAATGAGCACCTTACACACTGCAAAATGAGAATATTAACAGTCTCCCCCACCAAAGCCCAGACACATTGCTTTCCAAAATGCAGGCTGATTAGCGGCTGCCCTCCACTGCACTCCCCCCACCCAACCCCCACCACCGCCACCACCACCACCCTTGGCTCCCCATGCCCCCCCTCAATGCCGGCAGCCCCCACCCGCCCACTTGAGAGATCGCGATGGAGATGAATAAATAGATGGACAGCTCACCCTAACTCCTGCACGTCTCTCCCTCGACCGAGGATCTGCACTGCTAGAAATCTCCCACTGTCTCCTCCCCTCTGAAGAAGACCAAAGACTGAAAACTACCCCAAAGTACCCGATTGACAATTACGAGGCTGCTGACCAGAATGAGCACCTTACACACTGCAAAATGAGAATATTAACAGTCTCCCCCACCAAAGCCCAGACACATTGCTTTCCAAAATGCAGGCTGATTAGCGGCTGCCCTCCACTGCACTCCCCCCACCCAACCACCACCACCGCCACCACCACCACCTTTGGCTCCCTATGCCTCGCATCAATGCAGGTCCCTTAGAAAGTCAGATCTCCACTTACTCAGATCTACCAAGAATCCCCAATGCCTTGCTGTACGAAAACCCCACAAACGGCAGTTCTTCACCACAGAAACCTGAGGGGCTCAGCTGGCACAGAGAGGATGAAACCCACGAATTCTTCTCTGGTTCATCGAAATTGGAGGTGTCATCGTCAGACTTGAGGGTGGGAACGAAAGGGGGAGGAGCTGGTGAAAGAAAAACAAGAAAGGGGGGAGAGGAAAATTCAGATGGATTCGACACTGTTGCGGAGAAAATCGTCTTACTCCTTCGGCGTTGGCGAGGGCACTGCAGCGCCTGCTTTCAATCTAGCTTTCGCACAGACAGAACCAGCCTCAGCTCTCGCAGCAACAAGAGATTAACCCCTTCTCTGCCAACATGGCTACCAACCCACAGATAGACTGCCTTCACGATAAACTGCAGGATCAACTCGAACAGGTCACTTGGCTGAATGAAAGCGCTTGGGGCACTCGCCTGAGCGAGCCTCTCTTTCCTGATATTTCCAGAAGGTTGCTACCGTGAGAGCATCTGCCGGCTAGTGCCAGGATGCCAGATGACCTAAACCCACTGACTCCCTCTTCCACACAGGTCAAACTGTAACCATTTAGGGCTCCTTGTTGAACTGAGACAAAACTTTCGCCCTCTTGTAAATTAACCAGAATGGAAGAGGGAACTGGAAAGAGGGTTTTGTGAGGTTCTGGAACTTAGGTTAGGATACCACTGCAGTCTAGTTCATTCATAGTCAGTGGAATCTACTCGGAGATCCCATTAGCCACTTTTTTTTTTTTAGTTCATTATCCCTCCCCGCCCCCCAGCGCAATCGTGCCCACCAAATCCACCGCAGCTTAATCAGCATAACGAAACACCGGCCAAATAAAGTTCCTCCCAATGAATTACAACACCCCTGCGTGTGGATGGTGGGGGTGCACGGATGGACAATTGCGGCACCGTTCCTACCTCATTACAGCATGCCTGGTTCCAGCTAAGGGCGTCTTACATCCTCTCCACTTCCTGCCGACCTACTAAGCTCTCTCAGTCAGGGAGGCGGACACTGGTCCATCAGTCACCAGGAGGCTGCCCATTGTCGTAGGCTCCTGGGGGTGTCGCCGGCCAGAAGCGTTACCATGGCTGCGGGCTAAGGCGTCCTCCGCCCGGGCGGCGAGTCGGTAAGCCTCACATCCCCCGCAGTGCAGGCGGCGCAGGCGGCATGCTCCCCACTCTGTGCGTGCTCTGGCTGTAACCCCACCTGGCCGCCTCCGTGGCAGGGGCCAATGCCGATCTGAGTGACAGAGCAGCATGAGTCACTGCCCGCCAGGGCTCGCTAGAGCTCCCCCTAGGACAGTTGTCACAGCCCTTCACAGCCCAGACTTCTTTTTAACTCCTGGTGTGCTGGACAAAATTGTGTGCCAGATTGGAGCAGCTGTCTGTCTGCTTACAGACTTTAAAAAAAAAAAAAAAAAAAAAATTCTGGTTTTTTCCAAAGTTTCCCAAGTTTAAAGCTGGTTTAAAAATAAAATTTGAAGTTCAAGTAATTAGTTCATAATACACATAACCATGAACTTTAAAAAAAAAAAAAAAAAAAAAAATCTGGTTGTTTCCAAAGTTTCCCAAGGATGAAAGCCTGCAAAGTGGTTTGGAGATGGGGGTGGGGAGGGGGGAGAAGAAGAGGCGAAGCCAGAGGTCTGAGTGCTCCTGGGAAGTGCAAAAGAACATTCTCAGAGCTCCAGGTGCATTGAGATGAGGTGGGAGAGGAAGATCGAAATGTAAGGTGTGCGCTACCAGAAAATGATTTAACACCGCCAACCTCTCTCAGGAGAATTTAAATCTTCCCTGTTAGTGTCAGAATCTACTTGCTTAATACTCTACAAATGAGCTGATGGGAAGACAAATTAGATAGAAGGCTTCAGCCCACATCCTGTGTGTACTTCCATCGACAGGGGCTTAAATCCAATCGTATTTCAATTACCCAATACCTTTTTTATTTTGAAGCAGGAAAAAAAATAATTTTTAACGGAAATTACACTTCAGAAGGATTTTTAAAAATGAAGGAGGAAGAAGTTTTCCATCCCAAAATAAGGAAGCTCAGATAAAGACTGAGGAAATTTACAGGGACTTGCAGCTCATACTAAGGATACACAGTGGTTAATAGCACTCTGGAATCTGACTACATTCAAACCCCAGCTCCACCACTTACCAGCTCTGTGACCCTGGAAAAGTCACTTAACCTCTCTGAGCCTGTTTGGACCCAGGAATAACTACCTCAAAGGGCTGCTGGGAGGTTTAAATAACCTATATAAAGTGCTTAGTACAGCTCCTAGCATACACTCGGTAAAGGTGACCTGCTGTTAGTATCACGGCTCTGGTGAGGTGTGTGTTTGACAGACCTCGCCGTCAACTGTCAACCGTCAACCGTAGGCTACTGAGACTCAGCGGAACACCAAACATTCTTTTTTCCTGCGCAAGGCATGGGCACAGCCATGTGGATGTTTGTGTTAATCTTATCGTAGCGTTTAATTCCTAGCAGAAGTTTAATTCCCTTTCTATTATATACTCATTTATCTTTAAGAGACTAAAATAGAATTCCATTTCTGACTGAGGAGTGTGATTAATAGAGGGGTAGGAGCCACCCTCAGTGAAATAATTATGATTTTGATATCCCATACTATAAAATAAGGTTTGTCTAGAAAACTCCGTCATACTCCAAGCTGGCTTAATATGGTAGAGATTAGACAAAGGGCCAGATTATCTTTAAGTCAGAAGGAAGGAGAGGTTTCTGGTGCTTGCCACAGGCTCTGGAGTAAGAGCAGGCAAAGCAAACCAACCCATGTACACCTCAGTCCAGGCCCTGCACCTGGTCGTTGCCATTGCAAATGGGAGGACAGGGAGTTGGGGGGAGATAGTGAGGAATGAAGACGCCAACACAAAATACACTAGTGTTAATAGGTGAGATATTCACAGCACAGATTAAAAGCTAGGACTATAAACTTCTAGACATATAACCAATTAAGGAAAATAGATTTCAGGACTCTGAAAAGAAGGACACCTTTGGGCCACATTTAGGCAGGAAAAAAGCCACCATCTCAAGCCAAAAAAGAAGTAGGAGACCTAGAACTATGAAGAGACCTTCAAAAAAATTAATGGAACCTGCATATTATGAAAAAAAAGTATGTACAGATTCCAAAATATTCCAATGTCGTATTTTTAAGTTTATTTTTGCATCAAAATAAATTTATACTTTTTTTTAGGGGGGGAAGATTTTTGCTATAGGACACATGTGCTCACCAGAAAGTGGGAAATTGCCCCACCCAGGGGCTATGGCCACCTGCAATCCCTTCCTCCTCCATTCTCCTCTTGGGATTTTGGTCACCCATGCCCAGAGTAAATTGTTTAAATCGCCAGGACAGGGATTCAAAATGTGGTCAACCATGTGGGAGTCCAGTAACATAACCATTAGGTCATCTGCTGGTCCCTACACTTATACTTTAATTCCATTTTCCACGAACTTTTTGAAGTCTTCTTATAATCTACCCTCCAGAATATGACAAGCATTCTTATCCTTGCCCAGGGCCCTTTAGTGGGAAAGAAGCAAGACATCTAGTAAGAAACTGTCACATGAGGTAAGGTCTCTACATTTACAGCATCCTGCATGACATGGAAACCACAATTTGAGAACATTAACACGAATCCTTGTAACATGAATGGTGAGTCCGTGGAGCGACCAGCAGAAACAAGTGGAGAACAACTCATGGGGTTACTTTCACAACCTACCACACACAGGTCTCACTCACTCTCTCTTCGCTCTCTCTCTCTCATGCACACACACACCTACTGGAAATGAGTTTGCCCCCCCCCAAAAAAAGCAAAATTCAACAACTATACATATTAAGAGAAAATAAATCACCAAAGAGTACAAGCTACCATGAAGGAGTATCAATAGATAGATGGGAAAATCAGCCCTCCAAAAACTGCAGATAAAAGAACAACCTTGGGACCAGCAGATAGCATAATGGTTAAGTTGCTGGACTCCCACGTAGTTGACTGCAGTTTGAGTCCTAGACCTGGCGGCTTAAAACTCATGCCGGGCATGTGTGCATGTGTGTCTAAAATCCCAAGAGAATAATGGAGGAGAAGGGACTGCAGCACAGCCATCCCCCCTGGGGGATGACTTCTCGCCTTCTGTCACTCCGGCGAGCACATGCGCCTTATAGAAAAAAATCTCTCTCTCTAAAAAAAAAAAAAAAAAAAAGGAACCTCAAATGGACCATAAGTTTTCATTTATTATCAAGGTAAATGAGTAGAAATTCTAATCAAAGAACCAAACATTTTGAAAAAGAACTATGCTCATTTTCAAAGAACCAAACAGAACATCCAGAAATGAAGAGTATTGTTACTGAATTTAAAGGTGAAAAACTTTAAATGCAGTTAAATATTGGATTAGATACAGCTGAAGAGAAACTAGCAGTTACAACTGAGGGAACCACACAGACCCATGATACTTCAAGTATGGCCTGTAGCCTGTCAGAATCAGCATCACTCAGGAGCTAGAAATGCAGAGTGTCAGGTTCTGCCCCTCACCCTTTGAAACTAAACCTGAGCTCCCCAGGTGATTTAAACATTCATACAGGATAAAGCACTATGGCCAAGAGGTGGGACATATGAAAGGTCAGGAGACAGGATAAGAAGATCCATTATACACCTAATAGGAGCACCAGAAAGACACAGTAAAGAACTTAAAATCTTTTATTTTTTAAGAGAGACTTTTGCCATAAGGTGCACGTGTTGCCGGAGACACACACACACACACACACACACAGAAAGCGAGAAATCATCCCCCCTCTGGGAGGGGATGCCAATGCCACAATCCCTTCTCCTCCATACTCCTCTTGGGATTTTGAGCACATACATGCAAGCACCTGGCATGGGTTTGAAGCTGCTGGATTCAAGACCCAAACCATGGTCGACTAAGTGTGAGTCCAGCAAAGTAATCATCACACCACCTGCTGGTCTCTTAAAATCTTAAATTAACACATTTTAAGCAGCCCAGTCTGGGATTCGAACCACGGCTGACTACATGGGAGTCCAGTGACATAACCATTATGCCATCTGCTGGTCCCTAACTTAACACTTTTTTTTTTTTTTTTTAAAGGAAGACTTTTGCTATAGGGCACATGTGCTTGCTGGAGAAACA